AACGGTTATTTCACAAACTGACAGCAGTCCTAGTAAGAATGGCAGACAACCCTGTGGTATACAATGATTTTATAAAAATCAATCTTTGTATTATTAACATTTTGAATTTATTATTATAAATCCCTGATTACCAACTACTCTTAATATAGATACAACAATTGATAAGTCTAAAACAGCTTCACAAACTAAAAAAATCAAATAATATATAAATATTCCAATTGATACCGTGCACAACTTTTACGGTGCCCAACTGTACTGTGCGATATTCTGCAAGTGCGCAATAAAGCTGTGCCCAATTCTTACTGTGCGCAATAATACTGTGTCCAAAGGAGCTGTGCACAATGCGATAGTGCGCAATCGTATTGTGCGCTAAAGAGCCGCTCCCGTTTATTCTGCATCCCTGTCGGGCTTACGGGGTTCATTAGATGAAGCGTTCCCGACCTTACAAACTTAACAAACTTAATTCTTTAAACCTTCTTTTACATATACTTTCCTATCACTACAATCTCTTGCCTAACTAACTTACAGAGTCAAGTATAAACCTTAGTTGTAATACATAGAAAAGTGAATAGAATGTATAAGAGTAATTTTAACAATATAAATGTAATTACGTACTGTCACATCCGGGTTACTTTCTTCATAACCCGACCTTGCGTTTCCCGTCCGGTGCGTCGCACTTGGAAGAAATTCCCCTACGGGAGGCGCAAGGAAGGGCCTTCCTTATTTTATTTCCTCGTTTCCTTGTTCGCGCTCCTCCGATCTTGTGTTCTTCCGTCGGGTGCGTGTGTACTTGGAAGTGATTCCTCACGGAGAACACAAGAAAGGGGTTTGAGATTAAAATAATAATTCTTCTTTATCTTTTCTCTTATTAGTTTCAATAGTTCAACTAATAGTTCATCATATTAATATACCGAGTTTGTGTACGTCGCCAGTGCGTAGCACTTGGAGATAACCCCAGGCGAGGCACACAAAGGAGGCTATATTTAGTTCTTTCAAATAATACGAGTCCACCTTTCCTTGGGATGATTGCCTAGTCGAAACTGCGTAGCAACAAAAACTTCGAAAGTCGAAACCGTTTAGGGAGAGGTATCATAATCATCCTTCGCCGCGCGGTTAAGCAGTGCGACGCACTTGGAAATTTCCCAACTTAACCGTGTAACATAAAGAAGAATTTTGTTCTATCCTGCTAGCGAGGTACCTCTCCTACCTGCGAAGCATGCGTCAGCCGACCTTTCCACAAGGAATGAATGCAATTAAAAACAAAGCGATTGGTATGAAACGGAATGAAACTGTTTGAATGATTATGGAATGCGAGGGTTTGCGTGACAACCACTGTAGTTTGAAATTGTTCAAGAACGTTCGAGACAAAGGTCGACCAAGGCAATAAACATCGTCAACGAACTATTGCTAAACGTTAAACGTAGAACGTTTCGAATATACGTAAATCGTTGAATATACGAAAATCGTTGAAAATTAATGTGCGCGGAACGAATGTCAACTAAATGCAACACGCATATATCCGCGATTTGACGATGATTATAAAACACCAATTGCCGTTTTACGCAAACCGCCAAAACACGAATAAGAACGGAATAATTCATACTATTCAATTAATAGTCATTCAATATAGTAAATTAACAGCTATCATAATTTAAACCTTTTTCGATACCGGAAATATTAGCTAGAAAAGCCTCTTTGATTAGCGAATTCGAATAAACTCAAGTCGTAATAGATTTCGAATATTCCAAAAACTTTAGAATTGCGACGCATGGAATTCGCGTAGCGTTAGAGGGGTAGAAAGAAATGGACAACGTTAGACGAAGGCAGAAAGAAAGGTCAAGAAGGGATGAGAAAACTAGGAAGAACGGCCAACTAACCCAATACGCACGAGATTTCCCCTTCGACACGCACCCCGATTTGCCAAATGATGTCCCCACTTTGGGCCCATGATCGCGGGTCGAATCCTGAGACACGATCGCTTGACTGAGGCAAAGGACTCTTCGTCGAAAAATCGTAAGGTACGTGACGGGGAGACCGTGTTCGCGTTAGACGAGTTGTCGCGGAAATCATTGTAATTAGCTGCTCGGCAAAGTTCCTTCGCGTAGCAAGGCAGAGTGTCGAGATTGTGCGATTCGTGTTTCTCGCGGCAAGGACTCATACGGATACGTTAAAATTTCATACTTTTCAATTCCTATCTTTTTCTCTTTCGTTTTTAAATCGTTCGCTAAATTAATTATTTTTATTTTTCCGCGTCGCGTCGTTTTGAAATCAGTTTTCGTATCGTTTCGTAATTAATCGTTTTCCGTAACAGTTTTCTCATCTTTTCTTCGCCTTCCAGATTTCTAGAAAACACCAGCGACCACTAAGCAAATCCAAAATCTTATCATATATTATTTTACATCGAGCTTGGTAAGTTGTCCATTTCATTTCTATTCAATACGACGAATCTGGATTTAGTGAGGCAAAACGGGCGATCTACGGAACCGCGTGTTCTGGAAAATTTCCCACTGGATCGTTCCGTTCGACACTGCGATTTAAGGTATCGAAACATTAATATTTCCAATAAAATTCCGATCGCATCCAAAGAAGACGGCTCCACGGAACCGTGGTTTTGGTAGTATCCCCCTGGGACCGTTCTCCCTTTTTCGCGTATTAATTGTTCACCGAACATCGTCACTCGAATTATCGAATTATCGAATCAAAAATTTAATTAATCGAAAATTCAATAGATCTCACTTTTATATAACTTTATACTTTTCTTGATAATATATATATTTCATTTATTTCTTTTGTATTTCAAGCAGCTCGTACTCCTTGTCAACTAAGTATTTTATTGTAATGCTTATTTTTCCGAAATTATATTTTTGTTACACCTAACCAGTTTTAATTCATTTGCGTTTCAAACACACTTCCTTCCTTCGCGTTCACGCTTACCATCTTCGCACAAATTCATACGAGGGGCCCGTATAGGACCAGAGCATTGACGAACTCAATTAATCTATCAATTAATCGATCTAACATCGTTATAAGCGATTAGGACTGGTGGCAGCGCTAATACCGTTCTCAACCGCGTATTAACCACTCAGAAAGTAAAAGAAATAATAATATAACTATAAATATATTTTCCTATCTTTCTTTTCTTTTTATTTTGTACGTCGCGCGCCGTATCTCGCTCGCGACGTAACAGTACTAATAGAACAAAAAATAAAAATATAAGAAAACTACATAAATATGTAAACTATATATGAATATGGCAATGTGAAAATATGATATTATATGTGTTAGTAAAGAGATAAACGAAGAGTAATATTACAGAATAAGAAATGGGAATAGGAAACTGATATAATAAGAATAAGAAAATAAGTAAATAATACATTAAAAAATAGGAAAATAAGAAAATGAACATACAAAGTTTGGAGATAGACTTTCTCTGCACTTGTTAGCTAACTTAAAATATCTAATCAAATAAACTAAACACTTTCTCTTTGGTATTGGTTGTGATTTTGCGTGGTCTGAACAGGCTGAAATAAGACACGCACCTCTTAACGATAACGAACAAGTTTATTGTACAAAAGAACGAAAAGAGTACATATATACAAAAGTCACACGAAACACTTTATACAGAGAATACGAAAATCGAGTAATGGCGTCTAGCGTGCTGAGTCCGGCGCAGAGAGGGGACCGTCGGTAGCGACGCACCAGCGAAGTATTTTCGCTGCCAACTTCGTCTCTTGGCGTAGACTTGGGGAATTTCGCCAACAGGTATCAAAAGCATAACAGAAATTTAACTATATTTGTCTAGCTCTTCTTCCTCCCTTATTCCTTCTTTTCTTCAGTTCCCTTTGATTTTGCCTTCAACTTCTGTCTTCTCCCTTCTCACCTTTTCCTTTATACTCTCTGTACGCTCTTCCATTTCCCTTTTTCATCGTCCCATCTCCACTCTGTTCCTTCAATCCAGATCCTCCTGTTACTGAATTCTACTCTCCTTCCTTTACTTCTTTCTTCCCTGGGTTTTTCCTTTATTCTCCATTTCATCTTCCTTTCTTCGTTTGACAGGTCTTCTTGTATGGTAATCCTCCGTCTCTCCCAAATCTCATTCTTTTTTCCTAGAATCTCATTCCTGTCTTCCTCTTCATCCAGCTCCGTCAGTGTCAATTTTCTCCCCCCTTCACCTGCCAGCTCTGTTAATTTCCTCATTACTAACTTTTTTCCTTGCTTGATTTGCATCATGATGCTTATCCTTCTGCTTCTTTCCTCAGCATCCTTCCCTCCTACTCCCTTCCAAACTAGGCTCCTTTTTCTCCTCTCCCTCCTCTCGTTTTCTATTCTCCTTTCCCAGATTTCCCTCCAGTCCTCCTCTTCTTCCTCCTTTGGTTCTTCTTCTTCACTCCTTTCCTTTTCATTTTCCTCCTCTTCGTTCATTGCCTGTCCCGTTGCCCCTTTTCCTATCTTCTCTTCTCCTTCCTCTTCCTTGCTCGCTTTTAGTCTTTTGTCCATTCCTTCCTCCGCTTTTTCTTTTTCTTTCTCTTTTGTGAATGTCGCGTTTTTCCTTTTTTTTTTGTCATCATATCTTCCTCTTCAGCTCCTTTTTCTTCTTCTTCTTCCTGTTCTGTGTTGTCTCTCCTCTGCGGGAGATTCTTCACTCTTTAATTCCGCCACGCTCTCTTCTATCTTTTTCAGCTCCTTCAGAACTTCTTCTCTCCAGGCACTTTCCGTCTTTTTCTTCGTATCTTATCTTTTATCGTCCCTTCTCTCCTTTTATATCCTTTCTTCTTTCTAGACTTCCTTGTCTGTCCTTTTCTCTCTCTTTCTTTTCCTTTTGACTTTCTACTGTTGCTTCGCTTCCTTACTTGTTCCTACTCCGCCTTACTTGACCGTCCACCTGTTGCGTGTTGGCATGCTCTTTCACCACGTGTTTCATCAGTGTCGCCACCTGCTTATTGTGTTTCGTTCACAGTGCCGGCAACTGTTGCTGTTGCTTCGTCCTTTCCTCGTTGATGTTACTGGCTGTTGCTGTCGGTATTGTCGATTCCTCCATTTTCGACTTCCACCTCGTCTTCCCCTTCCGTCCTGCCTTTCTCTGCTTCCTTCATCCATAGTTCTCCTTCTCCATCTTCACCCAGCAACTCCTTAACTTTTTCTTGCCATCCTTCTTTTCTTTCCTCGCTTACCCCACATCCTTCCCATACGTGTTCCCACGTTTCTTCCTCCTACCCGCAATTTCTGCATTTCTTTTTCTCTTCACTTTCCCAATATTTGGCTTGATTTATCTCATTCCCCAGCCTGAATCTGGCGACTCTTTTCCATCTTTCTTCATTCTAAACTTTTTCTAGAAGCTTCGGAGTGCCTGTATTCCTGATCACTTTGTACTATTTATTAAATTTTGATGCCTTTATCTTTCCCCATCTCTACCTTTCTTACAGAAGTATGTCCGCCTCTTCTATCTCCTCAAATCCCATTTCCCCTTCTCTCCTTTGTCTTTCCGGGCCTGCTAGTTCTATACCCATTTCGACGAAGAATTTTTTCCTTTACTCTTCCCACTTGTTTCTTTCCGATTCCCTTTGCTCTCCTCTTATCATTTTCTCCCAACATTTCCTTGCCAATTCGCCTCCTTTTCCTCCACATCTTCCTTTCGTATCCCCATGCCAATTTTCCCGCTTTATCCCTCATTTTCGATCTTTGCAACTCTTCTCTCAGCATGTATCCCGGGGTGCACCAATCCTCCCCTAGCGTCCATCTCAAGTATCTCTCCGGCAGCCCTTCTGTTTCCCTCCATTCATTCCACCCCCAGACTTCGACGCCGTACGCCGTTGTCGACCAGGCCAATCTGTCCCATAGCCATATCCTCCTCCTCCAATCCTTTCCAAATCTTCTTTTTCCAATCCACCAGACTTGTCTCATCACTACACTCGCTTTTCCCACCCTGTCCTTTATATGCATTTCATTCCCTCCGTTTCTCCTGAAGATATACTCTAGGTATTTGAAGGACTTTACCTCTTCCGTTTTCTTTCCCTTCCAGGTCCAGTCCCTCTTCTTCCATCTTCCTCCGCCTTTTCTGAATCTCATCACCTTTGACTTTTCCCGGTTTAGTTGCAGCTTCTTCCTGTCCAAGTACCTCTCTAGTCTCCTTAGCATCGCCGTCATGTCTTCTTCTTTCTCTGCCAGCAACGCCACGTCGTCTGCATAGGCCAGAGTATATATTTTCTTCTCTCCTAGTTTGATTCCTCCTATCCCTCCTTCCTGCATCTCTTCCTCCAAATCCGCCGTTAGTAGGTTGTATAATAACGGGCTCAGTGGGCAGCCTTGATTCAGACCTCTCGCTGTCCAGAACGGTTCCGTCATCCCTTCGTTTGACCTTACCCTGCTTTTGGACTCTCTGAATATTTCCTTTATCCTTTCTCTCAGCCCTTTACGGACTCCTCTCTTCCTTAACGTTTCCATCAACACACTTCTGTCTACCGAGTCAAAAGCGGCTTTCAGGTCGATAAAGCACGCAACTACCTTCCCCTTCGCCTTCTTTATCTGTTTGTTTACCATGTAATTCAGGACATACATGTTGTCCATAGTGCCCATCACTTTCCTGAATCCCGTCTGGTTGGCTGGGATCATTCCCTTACTTTCAGCTTCATCCCTTAGTCTTTCCGTTAGCGCCGCCGCATATATCTTGTAGTGTCGGCATCGAAGTCACCCCCTATAATCGCTAGCCTAGTTTCCATTTCCCTTTTTCCTGATCGGGGCGATTATTCCATTCTTCCACCCTTCCGGCCAGCCTTCTCCCTTCCGGACTTTGTTGCACGTTTTCCAGATCCATTCTGCCACTTCCTCCCCTCCATATTTCCCTACTTCGTTTGGAATCCCGTCTTCTCCTACTGCTTTCTTGTCCTTCAATTTGCGACCGCCTTTCCAATCTCCTCTCTGCTTATTTATCCGACTTCGAAGAGGAGAAGGATACTCATTTCGGTCAGTATATTTTTTTTTGTCTGGCTTTGTTTGCCGATTACTCCGAGATGGATGGACCAATCGGAGCGGAACTTTTTGCATCTTGTAGAGTATGTCTCCCGATTGGTCCCATTAGAAAAATATTTTGCATTTTTCATTGCCAAGGATTATTATTGCAAAAAACAGAAAGTTTCTAATCTCAACATACGTTGATTTCAATGACCCTTTAATACGTTGTCGGGGGCATAATGCTGAAGAGCTTTTTTATTATGCATAATGAACTGAAAGCTTTAGTTTCCGAGATATTCGTGAAAAACTATTATTACTACTACATTGAATTCTACGTATGCTTACGTGAATTCTACCGTCTACTCTGGCGGTGTATGGATCAGCATGCAGTCGCCTGTCCCTACTGTTTCTATACACATATCGCCCCGACCAAAAACCAGTATTCAGGTAAGTCTCGATTAATGCTAGTTCACATAGTGCGATATTCCATTTAGTGCGAATTTAAAAATGATACTAGCTCACATTTAATGCGATCAAAAACTTAGTTAATGCGAGGTTTGCGAGGCTTTTTTCGATCCAGACATGGATCGAAGCATGCAAGTTAACAGAGACTTCGATAAAATACTGTGGGTTTATCATCATATTTACGAAGGTATGAAGAAGTAGAAAAAAGTGCAATCAATTCTGTTAAAATAGTTTAAAAAGTAATAAACATGTTTAAGCTATTATAATTTAATAAAATACGTATGAAAGGTATATTTCAAAATTTAGATCGTATATTTCCTTTAACTAAGAACTAATTCCTATATTTCAAGTATTCGAATAGTACGAATTCAAATAATGCGAGCAATTTCTGGGATTTATTACTCGCACTAATCGAGACCTAACTGTACATAACTATATAGTAACTATTATTCTTCTAAACTCCTATTCTTTAACGCTACTGCGCAAAGAATGCACCGTTCGCGATGAAAGCTTTCCAATCTAATAGGAGATATTTCCGCGATGTGCCCTCTTCGAGAAATGTATGGAATCTATTATTGTTAATAACTATTGTTATAGCAAAAAGTTTATTTCTTGGTGTTACTCTGCAAGGAATGAATCAATCGCGATGAATCCTTTTGTAACGGGCGATGTGTTGAACTTGTGCATTTTGTAAAATGACCGGGCACTGTGCAGAATGCTCGTTCGAAAAGACATTGTGCAACATGTCCGTAACAAGTTTCGGTCAATCTATAAAATGTCCAGTGATTATACAGAATACCTAGAGGATGATAGCCAATGTATTGAAACGCTCTTGTTACATAGATGTGATAGGTCAGGTGAGGTCACACAATTAAATCCGGCCGCTGTAAGGCGGCCGGTAACGGCCGTAGTGTTGTTTAAATAATAACGAAAGCGATGCCGGCCGCCTAACGGCGGCCAAATTTAAATCTGTGGCCTATCCTAACCTATCACATATATGTATGGTTTTAATAATAATAATAATAGTAAGTTTAATGCCAAAGAACCGTGGGTATTAAATAAAATGTCCGGACCATTTGTGAAATACCTGCCCATTATATACATTGCCCCAAAAAATTGGCAGTTTACACCACGGCCGGTCATTTTACAAAATGCCCACGTTAAACACATTGCCCGTAACACCTTTCATATCTAATAGGAAATATTTCTACGATGAGTCCACTTGCAACAATTTATGGAATTCATTATTGTTAATAACTATTGTTGTTGTAATTATCCAATAAGAACGATAAACCACCTCACGGCATCCTACAAATACGGCTCGTTCCACTAAAAAGTGTGTAATAAAATAATTTTTAACAAAAAAAAATCCGACTTCGAAATGCACTAAAAAGTGTCAAATAATTTCTATTTCATTTATACCAATATTCCATAGCTATTAATAATATCTACTTAATCGTTAAATAGGATACCAAATTAAATACTTTTCTTCTACTAGGAAGATCCTAGTTCAGGTGTCGGCAACCTATGACAAATGACCCATTTGATAATTTCAAGTAAACAATATTCAACGGGAATCAACATACCCATTGCGGATTAACTATACTGCAGTTCACGAGAGACCATACTTAACTCGCGTAGCTTACTAGGTCTAGGGACATTTTTAATGACGTGTGTGATTCCTCTTTACAGCTTGCTTCTTACTTTGCGATCATCTAATTTTTTCTTTGAAAAATAATAGGAATTTCATTGTATCGCGTATCTTTACTATATCATCATCCGTTACCAGTTACCATACGTCATATATTTCTGTTCACCATTTATATGTTCGCAAAGTAAGAAGCAAGCTGTAGAGGGGAATCACACACGTTATTAAAAATGTCCGTAGACCTAGTGAGCTGTGCGAGTTAAGTATGGTCTCTTGTGAATTGCAGTATACATGTACATCAAAAGTGCTACCAACTTCTGATACATTCGTTAGAAAATCCACCAATGTCAGATTTTCTCTATTCTTTCCGCCCTTCCTTTAAGGGCCTTTTTGTCTTCCATTATCTGTCTTAGGAGTTCCATCGTTTTTATTTTTACTTGGACCATACTAACTTCTTTTCCCCTTTCTGCAAGCCCTACTGGTTTTGTCTCCTCTACAGCCTCTTCTATCCCTAGTATTTTTAAAACTTCCACCACCTTCTCCTTCATCTCTTCTCTTTATTTTGAGACCTCTGTTTATTATATTTTTCTTTTTCTCTTCTCTTTTTTTCGCTCTCATTTCTTTTCAAGTTCGCTCAGTCTTTCTCTTAGTTTTTCTTCCCTCTCCTCTTCTTTTCTCTTGCCTATTGATTTTTGAACTGTATTGATGACTTTTTCCTCTATTTCAGTCCACCTCACGCTTTCTATTCCTCCCCTTTCTAGCTCCTCTACCTTTTTCTTCATCGATTCCATTTTCTTCTCCATTTCTCTCTTCTGTTCTAGCCATTCAACTTCTCTTCTTTTCATATCTGCTTTTAGCTTCTCTATCTCTCCCCTTAGGTCCTTCTCTAACATCCTCATATTGGAATCCATCTTCTCCATCTTCGCTCCCAATTTCCTGCCCATTTCTTTGATTAACTCCTTTATTTCTCCCACTCGCCCTTCCACTTCCTTTCTTTCTTTCTTGTTTTCCGGAGACCTTCCCGTTAGCTTACTCTTTCTAAACGTCCATTCTCTTGTCCCGCTCCTCCCCTCCTCCTCCTCCTTTTCCCCCTTCTTCTTCCCCTACTTCTCCTCTCCCCTCCTCTTCACTTCCTGTGTCTCTTTTCCTTTTCCAGATTTTATCTAGGTTCCACATACTCCCTATGCTCTGCCTTCTCTCTCTAATTAGCACCTTCACGTTCGAACGTCTGCCTCTTCCTTCCCCACCTTTCTTTTTGTTCTTCTCACCCTCCATTATTCGCTTCCTGCTTCAAATGTTCGTACCTGGCTCTTCCTTATCGACTGCTCTTCTCTTTACCTCTCTTTTCTCTTACCTTCCGTATGTTTCTCTCCCCCCCCCCCCCCCTTTCCCGTCGCTCACCGCTTCTTTTTCCTTGCTCACTCTTAATCTCGAATTTCACCTTTTCTTTCTCGACCTCTTATGCATCCTTCCGCCCGTCCCTCCACCTCACTTATTTGCTTCCCGTCTTTTCCCGGCTTTTCCGCCTCCTCTAACACTACTTTAATCCCCACCAACACTTTCTTTATTCTGACTGCACCGAAAATCACTAAGCTTACACTGGACACGACTAAGCGCAACCGTTACCCAATCGAAACTCGGCTTCAATTAATATATAAAGTAATCTTTTACAATTAATTTCGACTTAATGTTAGACTTTTTTGTCCAACTATTTAAAGGATTCAATTTAATAATCCATATCTTCATTGAATGTCATTATTGCTATATTTACATGAGATACAATGTAATATACATAATAAAAATACTAAAAATAATAAAACTACTTTGATTACAGAGAAACGATTCAGTTTATTTATTCGTAATTGTTCCCTGGGGAAAATCAATAGAAAACAGAATAATCGCATCAAATACATTTAATAACATCATTATTGACATATCAACATTAGTTATAACGTAATATACATTTAATAACAATCTCATTATTACTATATCTACATTACATATGCAATATACATTTGACAACAGTATCATTTTTACTATTTCTACATTCGATATAATGTAATGTACATTTAATAACAATGTCATTATTGCTATATCTACCTTAGGTACGTATCATACATTTAACAATAATATCATTACCACTATATCCACATTGTATATAATGTAATATACATTTAGTAACAATACCATTATTGCTATATCTACATTTCATATGAATTACACAATTGATAACAATATCATTATTACTATATCAACATTAGATATGTAATATACATTTAAA